AAACCCGTTGGCATCCAAAACAGCTCGCAGTCTTCTCGGAATGGATAAATATAGTTCCTGTATGTTTGCCAAGGGAATATTATACCATTCTTCCTGCAAAACGGTGGCAAGTTCAGATAACGATGTTGGCGGTGGATAACGAGAACACACTTTCCGTTCCAATGTAGACCACAAAGGTTCGATAATATTCAGGTCTGGTGACTATGGTGGCCAGGGGAGATGGGACAACTCATCCTCGTGCTCAGAAAACCAGTCCTGGACAATGTGAGCTGTGTGAACAGGGGCTTTGTCGTCTTGGAAGACACCATCACCATCGGGGAACAAAGTTTGTACCATGGGATGAACTTGATCGCCCAAAATGTTCACATAAGTCTTGGCAGTCATGTGCCCTGACACAGTTATCATGGGGCTAGCAGAGAACCACGATATGGCTTCCCAAACCATAACAGAACCCCCGCCATGTTTCACTCTTGGCAACAAGCAGTCTGTATTATAGGCTTGAGATGGCGTTCTCCAGACCTAAACTCGGCCAGAAGTGGGAAACAATGTGAAAGAAGACTCGTCAGACCATATTACTCGCTTCCACTGCTCTATAGTCCAGGCTTTATGACCTAAACACCACCTTTTCCTGTTACGGGCATTAGCATCACTGATGAGTGGCTTCTCAATTGCAGCACGGCCAGCAATTCCCTGTTTATGAAGCTCCCTTCTAATTGTTTTGGTACTCACAGGGTTCGGTAACACAACATTCATTTCAGCAGTAACTTTTGCAGCTGTGGTCTTCTTATTTTTCGTCACAATTGCCCTTAATGATCGTCTGTCACGATCACTGAGGACACACTTTCGTCCGCGCTGTGATTTAGCAGCAGATGATGTTTTTTCCGCTTTTCAAATATGCGGAATAAATCTTCGATACAGTACCTCTTGAAACACTAAACACCTCGGCTACCTTGCTTACGGAAGCACCTACCATACGTGCTCCAACAATTTGCCCACGTTCGAAGTCTGTTAACTCTGACATAATGCAATGACAACCTCACATAACAGTACTGTCAAAAACGCCAGCACCACCTACATATTTCATTAAAATCAATCTTTCTTTTCAAACATGCATTTCACAAGGTGTTTCCATATTTTTGTCCATCCACTGTATTTGAAAACAAATGTATTTATGCACTTAATTGGAATAAGTATAATATAACAGAACAAGGGTAATTTTATATTAAGGCTCTGTAGGAAATTTACCTATGGTGCTAAATACTGCATTATATCAATTTTATTTGATGGTATAGATATAGGGGAATACTCTGAGAGTAATTTTATGTCAAGGATCTGTAGGAAATTTATTTATTCTGCTAAATATCGCATTCTATAAATTTCATTTGATGATATAAATACAGGGAACAGTCAGTACTTTTTTAATTGTATTTTTATATTTTTTACGCGGAGATTTAATTATGCTAAATCAGATATTTAATAGATACTTATAATTACAATACACCACGAGTGTTATTATATTCATTCTTATTCACAGACATAGAATTTTTTACAATATGAGAGTTAATAATTATCTCTTTTATATCGAGAAATACGTATGGCGTAGATACCTACACGTTACACATTTTATTTGTATGAAATCGTTAAAATCTTTGGATTAGTATACAGCACTGAAAGTGAGATACACAATCAGGTTTTATAGCATATATCTAGTTGTAACTAAAGTTTTTGCCCAAAGTTCGTAATAATGTTAGAAAAAGAAACACGAAGGCAGTATATTTAGTACGGGTAGAAATCGCTACCCAAATATATAATTTCTTGCCAACGTTTTGGTAGTTTTTCAAAGCCTTCAGCCCAGAAAATTATTGGATTAACCCCATTTTGGAAGTCCTGTGCCGAATGTACGGTAGCACGAGCAAGATGTAGCTGCAAATGCGAAAAAAGGTAGAAGTCAGAAAGAGCGATGTCGGGGATGTATGGTGGGTGTGTAAAAAGATGCCCGGGACTTAGAAACATCACTTACCCTGAAAGATACCCTTAGAGTTCGTACAGAGTCCAATCGGTGAATGCAGACACATGTGGTCTGGCATTATCTTGATGGACATTACCTTTTTATGCCGGAACTCAGTTCGACGTTTTTCCTTGATAGCTGTGTCAACACGGACTAACACCTCGCTGTACTCCTTACTGTTGAGGTTTTTACCTTTTTCCAGATACACTTTATAGATAATACCTCGGTAATCCCCCCAGATGCAAAGTATGATCTTTTTGTTAACCATACTGCGCTTCGCGACGCTACCGACGGGTTCAGCGGGCGTTAGATCAACCCCCTTTTCGGCCTGTGTTGTTTAAGTAAATTCGCTTTTCATCACACTTGACGATCCTGTCAAGAATTTTGTCCTTGAGAAGATATTCCAGCAGATTAGTGCAGACCCGAACACGTCTCTCCTTATTTGCTTGAGTCAGCTCATGCGGCAACCAGCGATTAAACTTGTACGTCAAGTTTATGCGATGCATATCACGACTAACGGGAGGTAAAGAGTGACTAAAGAGCGCTCTAATTCTTGAATGTCATAGTCCTTGCTTTTGAACTTTCAGTACCAAAGTGTCATATGATACAACCTTAGTATTTAAAGCTGGTCACATGATTTGGTGACGTTCTTTAGCTGAATTTTTGCAACAGTAAGTAAATGATGCAACAGTGAAGTAAATGATAGTTCTAATCTGGTAGCATGATGGTTCCATTTCCGACACCATGTTAACGACACTTTTTTACAAATTTCACAGAAGCAAATCTCTTTCTTCAAATGCCAAAAATCGTATGACAATGATCAAACAACGCCAATGCGAACTGTTTTCGCAGACGGTATGGCTGGAAATTTTCGTTAAAACCCGATATTGTATGAAATAAGGTATGTCAATAACTCCCAAATTTTGGGTTGAGAATCAGTGTTCGGTAGATCACGCAAATTTCTGAAAGTTTATTTAATTACAATATTTCATGCAAATTATTAAATTTATTATATTTTATATTTATATTTGTTTATGTTAAAAGAATACAACTAACATTCAGAGATGGTTACTGTATGGAGGAAGTCGTCACAGTATTTGTATATTATTTCTGTTTCATTTTATTCTAGAATCTTCATTTCTTGCACGCAGAGCAGCTATGTGTGTGGGTCACATACATAGTACGTACACATACGTGTAGTAAGTTGCAGTACGTAGGCGGGTTGGAATCAATAGCGAGTTTTAGGGGGCTTCTGTGAACGCTTTTCTAAATTTTTAATTTGCTAATTTCTTGTTCTTTTTGTTTGCTTGTTTATTTCATATTTTGACTCACGACAAGTAGAATTTGGCCTAAGGTGACCCGTTGGCCAAATCCCCTTGCAAGTTTTTATTGATCTATACGGGGCATTTTTAACAGGAAAAAATGGTGCAAAACATGCTGAGAACTGATGCATATGCTAGGAGTAGATGATGACAATAATAGATTCACAGAAAGGATTCCGAATGTTACTCATATTCGGACACGCTTTATGTGTTGAAGGCAATACATGCTAAATTTAAAACTAGGATAGTTGCTTCTTTGACTCACTTTTTGAAATGATAGTATCCATGTTTATGCCTTCTGAAATTTGATATACTCATGCTGGGGAATTGGTGCCAACCACTGTGTGTTCCATGGTACCACTTGTCTCAAGAGCTACGACAATTTGCTGCACTTTGCTCGGTGTTATCTTGTATTAAAATACAATAGTATTTTGTATTAAAATACAATAGGCGATGAGTAATAAGGATTTTTATGCCTTTGACAGGGTAAACAAGTCCCGTATTAAGTTAGTTTCAGTGTATATTAGAACCAAGTCATCTGTTGGGTACTTCTGTGTCATCTCCGTCATTAGTATTTTCGCCACAACATTATAACTAAAAGCCATTTGACTACTCGTACAACATTCCTATTTCACAACATTATTTGTTAGTGTTAGAACATTCCCTTGTTCTGTATTATATTTCTCAAATAATAGTCACTGCTGTATGTCCTCCTCGTCGTGGATCCTTTAGTGAGTAATTATTTCACAAGACACTCTCTTTTAAACTACGTGCTACTTTTATTATATATACAAAATATATCATCACTCGCATGCTACTCATAACTACAGCTACTCGCATTCCAGTCCTTTTCTTACTACTGCGCGCGTTTCGATGCTTGGCGCTGTGCCAGCTTTAAGTCCGATTATGATATACCACATCGATAGTTCTCGATATATCGCACCCTTGCTCTGTATTATATTACTCAACTAATAGTCACTGCTACTTACCAGGAATGCGCTTTATCAAACAACTAACTTGTAATTGACGGATACATTATCTTTGTCAGTCAGTGGCTGCAAATATTGAAGATATGTGCGCCACTTTATGCGCCCTGATCTGTATTTACGGGCACGAAATCCTAAATTTTACGCTGTTTCTTCTGTTCACATGTTTGATTAACCTTTGAAAGTTTTGTGGCTGTTGTCTTTGAAAACATTCTACAGCTTTCTATTAAATTCCAGCACTAATAGAATAGTTCATGCACTAAAAGACACCACACATTCCATATATTCAGCATTCAGAGTTTCTTTATTTGACTTACCAGAAGCAGAAATCACACATGCAGAAGCTGCAGCTAGCAATAGAATAGCATAAAAAGTAATATGAAATGTATAAACACGAGGTAAAATGAAATAAAAGCATTTTGATCCCATTTCGTCGAAGAGCAATTAAAATTCAAATTTGAGTGTTTTAAACGATTTTTAATTGATATCAATAAAAGTATGTTCAAATTGAGAACAGAAATATTTGTTTTCTAAACTTTCAAATAAAGCTTTTTAATTTTTTCTTTTAGATGATTATTTTTAAAAATACTTCTATGTTAGTGATGGCAACATTATTGTTTACTTAATAATACAAATAATTAAATGTATTTTCAAATGGAAATGATATTAAATCTAATACAACTCCAACGGAGAAGGATTATTAATTCAAATATTTTAATTATTTTGCGATTAATAATATGTCAATAAACTTTATGTCAGAGAACATTTGCAGTATGTATAGTATTAGTATAATATTCATTATTTTAATATTGATTTGGATCTGTTCCTGTTTACACGTTACACAGCAGCCTTCTATAGTCATTGTTTTTATATCAGGTAAGTTTTATCTTAGCTGTTAAAAGCAATAAAAGTTGAGTTGAAAGAATCTTCTGCTATATTTCTTAGATTACATTTCCTTTAAGAAAATTAAAACTTAAAGACAGAATCAAAATATGTAACATGAATAAATTTAAATAAAAATAACTAAAGGAGTCTTATTTCATAAGATGCTGATAAAATTCAGTATGTTAAGTTAGGTAATGTGAAAAACGATGCTAGACCTAAAGCTGAAATGTATTGTGTATAAGATTGTAACTATATTACAATTGCAGAAACAGTGGAAATTTCTACCTGCATTTTGAGTTAAGGAAAAATGAGAGTGTTTGAGGTCTGGAAGGTAACCTCACAAGTGATGATGAAATATTGAGAGCGTCAATGCGTTGCACATGATTTCCAATAATGATGTTCTTTATTTTTGATGTATAAATTCATTCTGATTCCAAAGTAGGTATGTGAACAGTTAATGAATCCTTGCTCAAGTATGGTATTGTCTGACAGGCTAACTGGCAAAGGGTTCTTGCGCAAATCTTTAACCCTTTCCGGCACGCTACCTTTTAAAGTCGGAGTTTAGATAAAAAAAAAAAAAAAAAAAAGGTAGGCAGTCTAATTAGGCTAGAGAAGTACACAAGTAAAATTTTGTGAAGATAGCACTTATCGTTTTAATTCTGTGGTCTATTCAATCAGTCTACCCAAAGTGGGCACACTGATTGAATAGAGCTTCGAAAAGAATGCTGAGACGACCATTGTTGTCAATGAACTGACCATTGAGATGCGGAGAAACAAAGAATACAGACTCTCAGTTGTCCTAGATTATCGGCGAGCCCGGTCTGGGCACACCTAGGGTTCGCCGTATGATTTTAGGTTCGATTCCCGGCGAAGGCGTTGCATATTTTTCATCTTGCCTGCTTCCAGAAAAATACTTATGTCTCTACACTACTAGGCATAAGATTATAATAAATATTTATTATTGTCTTAAAGAAAGAAAATATTAGAGTCCATTAGCATACGATGATAATTACTATTTTGTTTATAAATCTAATTTATATAACATGAAATAACACTTGAATTAATTGACTTTCGTATTGGCTTTTAGGGCAGGACTTCTCAACTAAAGGGGAATTCTTCTGAGGGGGAATTTCAGCTTCAGGGGGGATGAGAACGCGGTTAGCATTTATTGACCTGTTAGACATTTAGTTTTATTTTATAAATATAGAAAACTACTTTTATTCAAGTTTTGCTATTTATTAATTTTTCTATTCTTTTTTTTTTTTTTTTTTTTTTTTTTGTTGTTGTTGTTTAATTTATAAAACATATTAAGAATAATCTAAATTTAAATAAATGTGTATGTACTTTACGAGTTTTGCAAAGGAAAAGCGCAATCTAGCAACAGTGAAAACGGTGCATGGAGAAAAATAGGTAGAGAACCACTGTTTGGGAGTATAAAAGATAAAACACACTTTACTAAGATTTTCCATTCTGTCATGTTTTCTTATTAAAAATTTATTAATTCCAGATGAGTGCAAGAAAAGAGATGAGATTTGTGCATCAGACAAAGAGAAATCTGGAATTCAGTTTGAGCAAAACACTGGGCGGCAGAAAAATGAAAAAGGAGAAATCCTAGTTACGGATACAGTGAAGGAGAAAAACGAAAATGAAGAAACAGAAACTGAAGCTGAATTATCAGATGTATCGCAAGAATCCGATGTCAGTACCGAAGACGCAAATTTAAATATCGCAGACACAAAACACGAGACTGGAGAAAGAAAACTTGCCACTAGACTAGCACAAATAAACACTGGACTTTCAAAACTGGATTCAAAAATTACAAAACTTAATTCTGAAAGGAACAACCTCCAAGAGGAATTCGAAAAATTCAGAATTAAGTCAGAAAAAGACTGCATGAAAGAACTCACACATGAAGAAACAAAAAGTTTAGATAAACTCAGTGAAGAAAAAGTGGAATTCATAGTTGAAGAAGAAAAGGGAAAGACAGAGGATATTGACATGGAACAGAAAAATTGTATATTCCCTAAGAAAATGGATGAAGAGCATGTAGAAGATGTCGGTTACATTGAAGAGGAAATTAAAAGCAACAAGGAGTTAATTATCAATAACAAAGACTTACTTCTTAACTGCATCATTATGTGATTTTGTTTTTCAAATTTGTTTTATTTACATATAACTTAATTTGAATTTTTTGCGGTAGAAATTTTGTCAGTTCTGCTGAGATAAATGTTAAAACTTCTGAATTATATTGAGCATGAAACGGAGCTTCTTTTTCGAATAAAAATGGTTCTTTAAAAGCATAATTCTTTTACAGCTACAGTTGATGATTTACTTAATTAATTGGAAATCATAAAAGTTAATTAATTATAAATTGTTAACAAAGTTAACTGTTAACAATATTAATAACTTTGTTACATAATAATCAACTTTGTTAATTATTACATATTACTGAAGACTCTGGCATAAAACGTAATGACTAAGCCAGCTGAAATTTCTGCATGTGAAGAAAACTTAATCATATTTCTTTTGCTACAAGAATAATTAAAAGATTCATTTAGAAACCACATTTAACTTTTAGAATTAGGTTATATATTTTCTATAATCTACTATGCGTAACATAAAGGAATGCGTTTAGGTCACTGGAAATATATTTTAATGAGGTGTCATGTATGACTTCTTTTTATTTGTAGCTTTATTTAGAAAAAATAAAAAAAAAATTAAAAAAAAAAGAGTTTAAGCCGTTTTACATTGGGTCAACCGGAACGTTGCGGATTTTTTATTATAAATAATAACTAAGCAGTTCAAAACCAAAGAAAATTTCTTTGAGTCATATAAACACCATTTTGTTCTGTGATTTTCTGCGATCTCTCCAGCAGCCGGAAATTTTATTTTTAGAAAACGTCATTACGTTTATTCGTGAAAACGTTATCGAGGTGCTGTTTGAAAGTCTTCAAAGAAGTGAACTCCAAGGCGTTGAAAGCATTTTCAAGTGATCGATACGGACGAAAATTCGAGGCGGCAAGGTCTAGTGAACATGCAGAGTAACACAAAACATCCCAGCCGCACTCAGTAAATCTTTGCCTGAAGAAATGTAGGGCGAAGAATTGTCATAATGGAAGACAACACCTCCACGATTTGTTAATTCTTGGAGCTTTGCTTCGACATCTGCTTTGAAATTACTATTTGAGAACCATTTTTCGGAATTTATTTTCTCCATTTGTTGGTACCAGCTCTTAGTATACAATTCCTCGGAACCGACCAGTTATGGGAGGAGACCCGGGGTTCTCCCAGACCACTGGCTGGACTTGTGTCCCGACAGTTTCGATTTCTTGGGTATATAAACAGACTTCACAGGACTAGAACCATAGGTCCATCCTATGGTAGGCACAGGCTTGGCAGGGACCGTACTGGTACTGTCGTGTCTATTGCCATCGGACATGTCGTGTCTATTGCCATCGGATGTCTATTGCCATCGTGTCTATTGCCATCTATTGCCATCGGACATCCCATCGGACATTACATGGGGACGCTCTCATGTAGATATTAAGCGCTGTGCCGGGGGGAGGCTCCCCGTGCAGCCCTCAGTGTGATGGATTGTGGCAATGAACATGAGAAACAGCAGAGATTTCCGGATGACCTGAAATATTTTACTCAAATAGTAAAGTGTAATATTCAAAAGAAATGGGTAATGTTATGTATAGATATTCCAGTTTTAAGTAAACGTTTAAGTAAAACTTCAGTAAACGGCTATTCGCGTTTTAAACTTCTAGATGTAAAAATATTGTATCATTTAAAACCGAAGGTAACATTCACTTTATTTATTATTATTTAAGTGACATTTACTCTTCTACTGATTTTACAAACACTGAATTTAATAATAAAGATAACTTAGTTGTTAGGCATTAATGCACCATTTCAAGGATGTTTTGCGTGACATATATATGTATGGACGGGATAAAGGACTGTTTTTCCCAAAGAGGATTGTAAAATGGATTCAGAAGAGATTTTTTAATTGACGTCTGTACGTACATATATATGTATCTCATATAACTCAAGAACGAGCAGCCATAGAACGTTGCAATTTTGCATTTGAGACTGTTATAACATGCAGTTGTGTACCTCCCCCCTTTTGTTGCAATCGCCTGTACCAGTCTTATATATACACTGTCTATAAAAAATTGCTAAACCAGGGAGGACTGATCTGACAAACTGCAAAATTACATGAAGCAGGAATAAAAAACGACATCTGAAGCACTGCATAAAAGAAATCTGTAGTGGATTTCTCATGCGAAAAGTGCTTTATAAGATTGGAATTTGCTCAGAATATCGTGTTATGCTTGGAATAAGATAAGTAAATGCTTATCAGCAAGTTTCGAAATTCGATAGAGGCAGGAACATTGCGAATCGAAAGTGTAAATTATCGTTCCGTGATATCGCGGTCCCAATGGTCGTCCTCCAACCATTGTCATGCGAATATTTAATCAATGGATTGCTGAGGGTCATGCTCAGGATATCAACGCCCTCCCATGAATAATGTCAGTAACGAAAGACATATTGTGAGGTCAGCCCTGCAAAACAGTACAACTACATCAAGGACCATTAGTCAGGAAGCAGGAATGTTTGCAGAGCACCCAGTATCAGCTCGTAAGGTGCGTCGACGTTTCAGGTAGCTTGGATTATCAGCAGATTGACCATTACTTAGACGTCCCTTGACAATGCAGCATAGAGAGAGACGGCGAATCTAGTTTGCCAAACGACAAAGCTGGGTGCAGGAGTGGCACAATGTCGCCTTTTCAAACGAGTCCCGATTATACGTGCAGTATTCTGATAACCGTATGGGTGTGCGGAGTGTCCGAGGAGACCGCAAGTCGCCTGCTTGCATTCGATATTGGCATAGGGGATCTGCATCTAGTGTATGGTTTGGGCTGCCATTGGGTACCTGACATGCACATCTCTAGTTCGGATCAATGGTGATTTCAACGCAGATGGGTACATTTCTGACATCTTACGTCCATTGGTTGTGCCTTATCTTCGAGATCCTCAAACGGTATTTTCCAACAAGATAATGCAAGATCACATGTTGTACGTCATGTTTTAACCTTCCTCGATACACAGGCTATTCGACTGCTGCCCTGGCTTGCACGGTCTTCAGATCTGTCATCCACTGGAAACATCTGGTTGCTGAAAGACTGGCCCGCCACCCCTCTCCAGCTAATACGGTTGCTGAAGTGCGGCATAGACTTGAAGCAGCATGGAATGATTTGCCCATTTCTGTAATCCAGCCCAATTTGACTGCAGTTTTGTCGTATGGTTAATGAGGTAATGGCCTTTTTAGCTGCCAGAGATGGCAGCTCTTTCTACTAATTTCGCACCCCCCTGTAAACCTCCAAAATGCTTACCAATTTAATCCTTTTGTCTGCATGTTATACTGTTTATGTGCAATAATTTTTTTTTTTTTTTTTTTTTTTTTTTGTATTTGCTTTCCTTCATGGTGTTGTAATTTTAACGGCCAGCAGTCTATAGTCCCACTTTGTTGCCCGGCTTGGTGAGCTCAATGTTTTATTCTTACATGTTAGTGATTGAATTATTTCATTTTTATGTTCGGGTTAAGGTTTTTATGCCTTTAGTTAATATGTATGCAACAGTTAAATAGTTATAGAATTTCCAAAAAAGTAAATGTTTAACTGGCGAATCAAGCCTAAACATCAGCCATTTGTTTACATTTGAAACTCTTAGTAGAATAGCAAATTCAGTTTGTAAGGATTATGTTAATTTTATTAACAGTTAAATTTAAAGTTCCTTTCCTGTCAAGTTCTTAACTTCAACTTACTACTTCCGGCCAGAACGTAGTTTTGGAATTTGCTAAATGTTTAATGAGGAGGAGCGGTATTTAAACCACGATGTTACTTACTGCGTCAGAGAGAATTCGAGTTTCTGATTTACGCGCGTCTGCCTTTTTGGCCGCTCTCTCTCTCAAAGCTGTTATTACGCTTGGCCGTACTCAGGCCCTTGCTAAGCTTCGTAGTCAAATAAGTTAAGGGGCCAACTCGATTTGAACTTTGAAAGCTTTGGCTATACTTCTTTAGTTAATCTTAGTTTTAGTTTAATTCTTAGTCTTTTAAGTTCAAGTCCAAGTGCGGGCTTTGCTTGTACACTCCCAGGCGGAGTTTTGTTAAATGTTATTGAAATAATAAAGGGTTAGTTACCCTTCTATCTTGTTGTTTATTGTCACCGAACGCAAGCGATTATTCGCTTATCAGTTCTTAGATTCCTCACTTCCAACATTAACATAGACTTCCAAAGTGAGGAACACTACAAGTTGATGCACCAAATTCAGCGTCTTTTTGCTCAGTGGGATCAACAGTTAACTTACAGTTTTTCGCACCGAAAATTTTGTCTTCTTGTCCGCTGGCCGAATGGCTCGAGAAGAAATTCTTATTTTAATTGCAGAAATTTTCTTTAAACTGTTTTTAACTGTATTTGGTATTTTAGATTGTTCTGTATTTGATAATTTTTAATGAAGGTGCTTTGAATTTTCATGCATTTTTGCCTTCCTGCAGCGTGGGAATTGAATTGAGTGAATGAGAAATATATATCTCATGGAATTCGAGGAAACATGTTTAAATGAAAAGCAACATAAAATGTGTATAATTTAGTAGTCCCTACAAGGAAATTATGTGGCGTCCGCACCAGATGTTTTAAAATTTTATTATCCGAAAATCGAGAAGGAGAAAATTATGCGAGTAATTTAATTTCCAAGAACGAGTTGCAGCAAGAGCATAACAAGTGAAAAATAGTTATGGATAAACTACTGGTAATCAGAATAGAAGAAACCTACATTTCAATAAATAATATACTAATATTGGCATTACAATATTTGACAGATATTGAGCCGATATCTGACGGTATTGCCTTGCGAAACCCTATGGACACCTCACATGATCGCAATTTCCAAGAACAACATCGGAATAATGAAGGAGAAGAGGGGCAAACAAAGACCTGGATTTCGAAAGACCGAGCACATCAGAAGTAGATAAGGTTACGATGATCTGGAACATAAATAAAAGAAGCAAGATGAAATCACATGTTTAAGACAGTTTCTTAAGTGTGAAAGCATCTGCCATTTCGGGGTAGCTTAACGAAGAATTCTTACAAAATGCATTTCACGTAATAAGTACAGGGTAAAGTAAAATTATTCAAATGTTAATTCAAAATAGCAGATACAAATGGAATGCACTGTTGAAAAATAAAAATAATCAGGGGAATACAATTTACCAATAAACTGACCCTCA